GGTAATCAAGTTCTCCGTTTGATTTCAAAATTTTCAAGAAGTCAGTAGTCGCAAGCAAATTAAGGGTGTGACTGGCACATCTCTGATGCTTAGGCAAAAGACATTCATTTTCGAACTGAGGCAGGCCATTATCGATGTCGCCCATGTCTGGGGAAACCCCGTGCTCCTTGAACGCCTTCACAAAATTCGAACCGTTGTCAGTGACAGTCATGACGACATTTGAACTGTCTAGTCCAAAGGAGCTGTTTATGTCGCTAATGACCTGCGTCAGTTTTTCGGATGAATGTGTACCAGTCAGTCTCCTGCAAGCTAAAGCAGCTGACTTTCTCTCGAATTTATCATCCAACCAGTGGCACGTGTACCCGAAGAAGCTGCGGTGATTACCCGACCATATGTCGGCCGTTGTACAAAAATACTTAGCTGATGAGATATCAGCTCGTATTTTCTCCAACATGCTATTATATTGGTCCTCCAATATCATCATGGCTGTCTGCCTGCTGGGAACTTTAAGTCCAGTCATTTCATATGACTCTCGGAAAGAGCGACGTTCAAAAAGTGAAACAGGCAGACTGCAATCAACAATAGCGAAAAGAAGTTTTTTTTCAAACTTCTGTTGTGCGGTTTGAATATCTGATTTGACAGTCTGAAATATTGATTGTTATTTAATATTGCTTTATAAATTTAATTTCTGTATAATATTTACCTTCACAACCTTATACTTCTCAAATAATTCGCTATGTCTTCGTCTCAAATGTTTGATGAAATTGGAGGTAACTCCCCCGGCCCCCTTTATGATACGTCCACAACCAGAGGCAGAACACTTCGCTTCCACTGAGACTTTGCCAGAAATTTCAACCTTGAATAATAGTTTTATCTAATTAATTTGTGAACTTTGATTCTACTTAAATTATTGAACACAACATTGTTATTACCTCTACTAAAAAATAATTTTGTTATTAAAAATACATAAACGCAACACACAATACAGCACTTCACAAACATAAGAACAAACTTGTTTCACATCCGTATAAAATTCGGAGCAAAAAATGTTGCTGGACGGTATGGCGTTGACCCGTGCCACTTTGGATGGAGAAGGTTCGTCCAGATGCAATCTTCGCTTACGCGATGGCTTTTCTGCTATAAAGTCGGGATCCGCAACGTTGTCATCAGCCGAAAAGTCACCCTCATCAAAAATATTACTCATTTTACTATATGGAGAAGAAAACGGTCAATTTAACTAATGTTTTTTAGTATGAATATATATGCTTTACATATGCACATCTCTTGCAGTTGAATATATGTATGTACTTTACATATGATCATTAAAAACAAACATAACCACAAAAAATATGTGCACGTAAAATTATTTTCTTGCCTGTATGACGAAATTCATTCACACAACACATGTTGTGTTATTAGTAATTACAATAACAAAACACATGTACACACACATGTGTATAACTCCCGCCAAAAAACGAATTATATTCTCTTATATATAAAATCAAATTATGTACTTACCAATATTTATATATTAATACTGCAATTAATAACCAAAATTAATAATATTATACAAATAAAGCAACGCGGATAATTAACAAAACGCACAACAAATTCACTTGCACTTGTAAGACCACGTAGACTCTTTTATCGTATGTGCTTTGTGCAAAAACAATATTGATCAGCTGTAGAAAAATCGTTCACAATCGATAACAGAGTGTGAAGTAAATAACTAGATTAAAAAATTAAATTATCTATTTATTTATGAAATAAGCAGAATAATTGAAATATATTTATATATGTATGTAAAATGAAATTAAATATATAAAAATACAAAAATATTTGAAATAAATAAAAATTGTATCAAGTACTTGAAAGTAATTGTAAGTAATTGGAAAAAGTACTTCAACTACTTTTTCAACTACTTTCAACTCCTTTCAATTACTTTTGGGAATTGATGGTAATTCCAAGTACTATTCAATTACAAGTACTTGTACTCGAGTTGTAATTGCATTTCAGCTGAAAAACGATTACTAATTCATTACAAATACTTTATGAAGTAATTGTATTGAGTAGGAATTGTACTCGAAATTTAACAGGTCTGGTTGAAAATCACAAAATACGAGATTAACATACATACACTAACACAAACACATTTCATTTACATTTAACTTACTCACTCTCACCTAACACGATATAAGACACAGCCTTACTAGGTATAACATGATTGTAATTAGTCTTAAGAGTTTAGTTCACTATTAAACGCCATTATAACCGCATCTTTGGTACTTTATTCCGATCCGGGCTCTTAATTTTACACATGGTGCCGAAACCCGGGAGCGGGCAATTAGTTTAAAATAGTGAATTTCAGTAAACTCAGTGAGCTCTAGGAAAAACAACGACGATATTCTTTAAAACAATAAATTTACATAAAACACGAGCAACCGTGGTAACGAATATTGAAGTGCCATTGTAAGGTGAAAAATGGAATCGGTCCATCGGGCTACTTGTCGTGGTCAGCTAACAAAGCTTATTAATCAAGCTACTGAGTACTTGGAAAACACAGACTTTTCCAAATTAAGTGAAAAACAAACCTTGCTTGAAAACGTGGGGACTCTCTTGCACAGGTTAAGGAATGCGCATGAAAATTTAAAAAAGGCGGACGTAGCCGTGAGAAAAATAATAAAACAGGAGGATATGGAAAAGGAATGCGAGTCAGTGCTAGACTATGACGACAAGGCGATCACAATTATTGCAAAGTTGCAATCGCGCGAAAAGAGTTTAGCAGGCCGACTTGAGCATACTATGAATACGTCCACCAATGGCGCTGGTGAGCAATCGTCTCATGGAGTTGAGCTCAAATCTCTTGAGCTGAAGAAATTCGACGGAAGCTTCGAAAAATGGTTGCCCTTCTGGGAGCAATTCAAGCCAACAGTGCATGATAACCCATTCATCAGCAGCAAAGTTTAACTTTTTGACCGAAGCATTGGTTGACAGGGCTTCATCAACGATTCAAGGATTCACTCCCACAGAGGAATGTTACTCTGAAGCCATAGCACTGCTATAAGATGAGTACGGAAATACCGAAAAGATAATCGAGAAATACGAACAAAAGCTTCTTAATTTAGAGCCAGTACAAACTACCAGCGACGTGCAGGGCTTACGATCATTATACAATCAGGTGATGTCAACTACTCGAACATTGTCCGCGTTGAAGGTCACCCCAGCTCAATACACGATCACCGTAAAATCCGTTATTCTTTAATGCTTACCTAAACAAATGAGAATACAATTTTTTCGATTGCCTGAAACAAAGACAACAGCGATTTCGACTTTAAATAGCACCTTTGCGAGACATAGAAGACGACCAACTTAAAGCAATTCTCCAATATATGAAAAGAGAAATGGAAGCCATAGAGAAAGCACAGTTATCAGAAGTTCCGAAAAAAGCGAGATTAACACTACCAACAGAACCAAGCAAGGAACAGCTACCGGCTTAGTTTCCATAACAGCGAGCGAGAAATGCATATTTTGTAATAAAGACAATCATAACGCACAGAATTGTAGAAGCACAATTAGCCTTTCCGACAAGAAGAAGGTATTGCAAAAGGAGGGACGATGTTTTCGTTGTACGAAGAAAAACCACACATCAAAATTTTGCAAAGCACATTGGGTTAAATGTAAAAACTGCGCAGGTAGACACCTAACGACGATGTGTGAACGACGTGAGAAGGGGCCTGAGGGGGAGCAGAGGAATCATTATCCAAACGCAGCAGAAGGTATTGAAAAAGAGATGAGCGACAACAGCAAAAAAGCGGCTGCATTAAGCACACCAGCGAGCGAAGGTCATTCGGAGTACTTACTGCAAACAGCGAAAGCCATCATAAGTAGCGAGAGTAATACAAAAAGGGTGTTATCAAGAATAGTGATGGACAACGGCAGTCAACGTACATTTGTGCATGAAAAGGTAGCAAAAATGCTGAAATTAAAACCGTGTGGAGTTGAAGAAACAACAATTACCGGCTTTGGCGACAAAAATAAAAACAGATTACCCACTAAATATGAGTGCGTTCAGATCCTATTGCAAAGCCAATATAATGACAAAACAATTTCAATACGGGCGATCGTAGTATCGAATATTTGCGCGGATTTAGCGTCAGTGGCAAACGAAATAACCGAAATTAAAACCAAAAACTGTAAACAAATAAAATACGAGTTAGCTGACGCTAATAAAAGCAGTGAACAATTATTACATGGTATTAATTTATTAATCGGACAAGATTATTATTGGAGGTTCAACACTCCAGAAACAAAACAAATTAGCAGCAACTTATTCGCGGTAAAAACATTTTTTGGGTGGACATTACAAGGCGAAATTGATCGCGGTAAAACGGACAAATAGCGCTGGTATTGAATGAAAATAAACAAACGACAAAAGGTGTACAAAATGAACCAGAAGGAAATCAAGACAGTGAATTAATAATACAAAATAATAAATTTTTAGAACAAAGTGAGCATTATGAAGCTAATAAAACTATAGAATTTGACATCAAGCAATTTTGGAATCTTGAATCAATCGGTATCGTAAATATTAATAGTTGTGTGGCAACCACCAAAAAACAGCTGACAGCTGCTTGCTGAATTAGTGCTGAATTTAATAGAAAATGGACAGCGGCAGATTCTTCTTTGCGGAAGTTTCTCTCGCTCTCTGGATTTTTGACTGCGACACGAGGCGGACGTCTTGGGTTATACAAACTAGCTAGCACACATATAATATATTCCGATTAAATATTATAGTTGCAATTTGTAAGTAATAAAGAAAAATAAATAGTAAATTACCATCTCATCTTACTTGTACGCTACAGTTGCATAGAAACTTCAGTGGCGCTAGCTCGGAAGCGGACGGTCGATATTCTGTTAAACTACCGTGGAAGCTTAAGAGCGAAGATCTACGGGATAATTACAAAATAACTGTGTGTCGATTACAGACCTTGACAACGAGCATGCTAAAAGATCAATCAAAAATTTTAGAATACGACAAAGAGGTTAAGAGCCTCATTGACAACGGAATTGCTGAAATTGTGCCCAATATCGAGTCTCCTAGGCCGATTTATTACATGCCGCATAAACCTGTTTATAAAGAAAATAAAAGCACAACGAAAGTGAGAATCGTTTTCGATGCGTCTTCGAGCGAATCCGGCCATACTTCGCTGAATGATCACCTTAGCGAAGGTTCTAATCTCATTGCCGACTTATTCACAATGCTACTACGTTTTAGGGCAAATCGTATCGCTGTGGTGGGCGATATAGAGAAAGCATTCCTTCAGATTTTACTGGATGAAGCTGACAGAGATACCCATCGTTTTTTATGGTACAAGTCATGTCCAAGCGCAGATCAACATAAGCCAGATCTGGCAATCTATCGTATGACTAGGGTTACATTTGGCATAACATCCAGCCCTTTCCTATTAGCTAGCACTAAACGTAATCATTTGGATGAAAGTTTAAAAAGTAATAGCGTGCTGTGTGAAAAACTCAAAGCGTCGTTTTACGTAGACGATCTTATATTCAGCGAACCAACCAAAGAAGCAGCAATGCATGTTGCTAAACAAGCTCAAACCGTGATGGAAGCTGCGAAATTTAACTTAAGGAAATGGAACTCTAACGACGTGGACGTAAGGCGAGAGCTTTCTACAGAGGAAGTAGGCATAGCAGAGCAAAAAATTCTTGGGTTGACATGGTCCACAGTAAACGACAAAATTTCCGTAGATGTAAAATCTTGTAATGATTATATCCAAACACTACGAGCTACAAAACGTAACGTTTTAAAAGCAATGGCCAAAATTTACGACCCGTTGGGGCTATTGGGCCCATTCACGGTTAGAATAAAAATTCTACTGCAAGAAGTTTGGCGTCAAAAGAAAGAATGGGATGTCATAATGGATGGCGAAACTCAGAGTGCATTTTCACAGTGGCAAGAAGAGCTTGCATTACTAGAAACTTTCTGTGTTGATCGATGTTTGTCAGCAGGCAGTGAATCGATATTGGAATTGCACATCTTTTCTGATGCGAGCCCGAAGGCGTATGGAGCAGTGGCTTATTGTCGACAAATAATGCCAACCGGACGAATTCTCACTAATATTGTGTGCTCAAAAAATCGAGTAAGCCCAATTTCCGAAAATAATAAGGAAGTAGAATTAACGTTACCTAAATTGGAGTTAACAGCAGCTTTGATGGCAGCAAGATTGAAAGAAACCCTTGTAAAAAGCTTGTGCGTTAAAATATCCGCAGTTTATTTGTGGACGGATTCAAGTATTGCATTAAACTGGATAAATGGCTGTGGGCGAAAACCTAAACCGTATATAAAGGCAAGAGTAGCAGAAATTAACCAAATGTCGAACATATATGATTGGCATCATTGTTCCGGCAAGCTTAATCCAGCGGATTTGCTAACCAGAGGTATAAAGGCGAAAAATCTGCTTGAGTCCAATATTTGGAAGTTCGGGCCAAGCTGGCTTCGAGAAAATGAAGAAAACTGGCCAGCGAAGCTTGAAATTCATAGATCATCAGTTTTGAATACTGCCAATCACATCGAGCGAAATAAGCTAGTAATTGCACCAATTACTACCATTGAAAATTATAGCAGTCTAAAAAAGCTTTTAAGAGTAACTGCATACGCATTTCGTTTTGTAAAACGTTCTAAGAGAAAGTCGACAAACCAACAGTTAGGCAATCGAAAGTGTATACAATATTGTGAAGTCGATGAAATAACGTTTGAAGAACTACAAAAAGCCGAGATGTACTGGATCGAACACACGCAGCGAAATTTTTACAGCAAGGAGTACGAAATATTATCGAACGGACAACAAGTTAATCACTCATCAAAAATATCGTCGTTAAACCCCTATCTGACAGATGGTATACTGCGGTTAAATAGTCGTTTTCCTAAATATGAGCAAAGCGTTTCAAAACGAGATCCAATAATTTTGCCGAAGAGGTCTCATTTAAGTGTGCTGCTGATATTAGAAGTTCATCAATCAACTTTTCATGGTGGTGTAAACGCCGTTCTAGCACAGCTTCGAAATCGTTTTTGGGTCATTCAGGCGAGGCAAGCAATTAAGACAATCCTGCGCAAGTGTGTGATTTGTCAGCGTCTCCATGGCAAAAGTGCTTCTGAGCCATGGACAGTACTACCAACCAAGCGAATAATGACTACGAGGCCTTTCGAGACAACCGGAGTGGATTTCGCTGGGCCGTTGTATGTTAACGGCAACAATGACCAAGGACACAAGGTGTACATTATGCTGTTTACATGTGCAGCTGTACGAGCTGTACATCTTGAGTTAGTGCCAGATATGACGACAAAAAGCTGCCTGGAGGCGATCAGGAGGTTTACGTCGAGAAGAGGTGTACCATCTACGATCATCTCAGATAATGCAAAGACTTTTAAGCGTGCAGACTATGAGCTTAGAAAGCTTGAAGATTTGCTTAAAAATCATGAAGTGCGGCGTTTGGCGGCACATAAAGGCGTCAAATGGCAATATATACCTGAGAGAGCAGCTTGGTGGGGCGGCTTCTGGGAGCGCCTCGTAAGGAGCGTCAAATGTCCACTTAAGGCTGCTATTGGCAAAGCCAAACTTTCAGCGAACGAATTAGCTACATTGTTGACGGAAATCGAGAGCGTAATCAACTCAAGGACGTTAACCTACATTACAAATGATCACAACGATCTGGAGCCACTGACTCCAGCTCACTTTTTGAACAATTTTAATTCTCTTTTATACTCCACAGAGTTACCAGTAACACAAGCGTCGCTGACGCAGTCTTGGTATTTGCAGCAATCATTGCTTAAACGTTACTTAAAGCGGTGGCGCAAGGATTATCTTAACCAGCTTCGCTCCATACACCATTGCAAGAACGGGCCAAGTCGCAGTATTAATGAAGATGATATAGTATTCGTGTATGATGAGCTCAAATCAAGACTTTTGTGGAAAATTGGTATCGTCAAAGCTACATACATGGGCAGAGACGGTCGCATAAGAGCATGTGATGTGGAACTGGAAAATAAGCAAATTTTAAGGCGGTCTGTGCAGCATTTGTATCCGCTCGAGATTGCAACAACATTTCCCGGGGCCCAGGATGTAGAAAATCACAAAATACGAGATTAACATACATACACTAACACAAACACATTTCATTTACTCACTCTCACCTAACACGATATAAGACACAGCCTTACTAGGTATAACCTAATTGCAATTAGTCTTAAGAGTTTAGTTCACTATTAAACGCCACTATAACCGCATATTTGGTACTTTATTCCGATCCGGGCTCTTAATTTTACACACAACCACGCCCAATGAAATAATTCAGAAAGCCTCAGATGAGATCCCCTTTTTTCGATGACGACCACGGCAAACGTATAAAGGACTATGATTTGAGGGTATGCACCTGGAATATCCGGAAACCTAATGGGGAAGGTGCTTCTGCCCGGCTGGTTGATGTCCTTGGGAAGACAAAGGCTGACATCACCGCCATCCAAGAAATGCGATGGAGAGGACAAGGCAAGGTAAGCGTGAAGCCTTGCGACGTCTACTACAGTTGTCATGTAAATGAGCGCAAATTCGGAGTTGGATTTGTGGTGGAAGAGGAACTCCATCGCCGAGTACTGTCGTTCACCCCGGTGGACGAGCGTCTAGCCACAATCCGCATCAAAGTGAGATTTTTCAACATCTCGCTCATCTGCGCCCATTCCACGATGGAAGAGAAGGATGAGGCATCCAAAGATCTATGAGCGCTGGGAGCGTACATGTGAGCGCTTCCCCCGACACGATGTCAAAATCGTGCTCGGCGTTATTAATGCCAAGGGGGGCAAGGAAGGTATCTTTGGTGCCACAGTCGGAAAATTCAGCCTCCACGACGAAATGTCCGATAACGGACTGAGGCCAAATCGACCATGTTAAAGAAAACCATGGAAAGCTTAACGCCGAAAAGCTGCAATCACAACACATGCCCAATTTCTTCGCCACTCAACTCGCACATCTGCTCTCTGGGAGCATTCTTCAACAATCCGAAATACGCGAGCAGTGGAACCACATTTCACGATCATTAAGTACCGCCGCCGAAGAAGTAGTTGGGTTTCAGCGAGCCTGCAAGAACAACTGGTGCAATGAGGAATGTCAAGAAGCCGCAGAGAAAAAAGTCGCCGCCTATAGGGCCACGCTGCGATCGAGTGCACCGCAAGCCATGTGCGACCGACAGGAAGAACACCCGAAAATTTTACCAGAGGGTTAGGCGAATACGGAAGGTTTCAAGACCAGGGCGAACTCCTGTAAGAACAACGATGGCGACCTAGTGGCCGATATCCAGAATGTACCTAAATTTCGGAGGGAACACTTTTCCGTCCTACTGAATGGTAGCAGCGCTTAAAGTAGTGGAGAAAACGAACCCGAGCCCCAGTCGATGATGATGGAGTCGTTGTCCTATCGCCTGATTATGACGAGGTACGAATAGCGAGTACGCGGCTGAAATACAAAACAAAGCTGCTGGAGCTGACGGCCTGCCAGCCGAGCTATTCAAGTACGGCGGCGAGGAGCTGATGAGGTGCATGCATCAGCTCTTAGGCAGAATATGGTCAGATGAACGCATGCCCGACGACTGTAATTTAAGTGTGCTCTGCACAATCCACAAGAAACGCGACCCCGCCATTCGCACCAGATTTAGATTTAGATTTAGCTACCACATACTTTTTTTGGCCACATAAAATTAAAATTGCCCCTAGCCCCTTTTTTAGCCCTTTGGAGAATTTATTCATACTTGGCATGAAAAAGTCATATATGCTCAATTTGATCTGATTTTTTTTTCATTTATATAAGAGATGAATTTTTCACCTAAGAAAGACTGATATATGTATTGTATTGTATGTTCCTTACGTTTTTATACATACATACTGTAAAAAATGTAGGGCTGTTAACTTATCTATTAACGATTTAACTATAGTTTAAAATAGATAAGTTTATGGCCCTTAATATGCTTAATTTGTTAAATGCCCATTAAGTCGATTGGCCGTGTATGTTCTTGTGGTGTGATTGTACCAGCTGCTGGTGCGAGTTCAGAAACTATTTGAAAATTTTTCGATTGTACCAGCATGCTGGTGTCGTGAGTGGTGAAATTAGCTCAATTTTCTAAGTAAAAAGTATTGTGGCGCAAATTTCTTGCACTATATGAGTCAAAGCCGTGTTTGTGGAAGATCAAGTTTACGATAATGCATGTGGCACCCTGCAATATTCTTTTCTCAAATGTCATGTAACCTTGTAATTTAACGTACTATGTTTAAGTTACTTAATCCTTTTTGACACATTAGTTCACTTGCTTTTTACCAGCCAACGAGAATTGACGCGCTTAACTTGTATTAAAAGCTCATAAATAAATAAGAACATTTAAACTATTAATAAACAACTCCGTTTATTAATTCGTCGCTATATCGACCTGGAAATAATATTGGTAAGCAAAGGATTAACTCCAATGCCTATCCAGCAAAAATACCAAGAAATTTTATTTCGATGTGTGAACAGCCACAAAGATCTTTCTGCCACTTTTCGGAAATCAGTTTCAGAAATAGAAGTTGCAAGGTGTGACTGCAACTGCAAGCGCGAAAATCGATTTCGGAAATATATTTCAACTTGCTCGTGCTGCACTAGCAATTTTTATTTCTTCTGCAAGTGCTGTCAAACCTAATCGAGTGTTGCCGTGTGGCACTGATAGTGAATTTGTGTAAAATGATAAAAAATATTGTTGAATTAAATATCAAAAATGTTTGGAATATATTATTTTGCTTAATATACTTAATCGTTAAATTATTGTTCACACGGCAAATATGTTAATTATAACCTATATTTTGTTTTCGTTCTCGCTTTTATAAGAGAAATAGCAAACAAACGACAACCCCAACAGCCAAAAAGCGATTTCATAAATTTTTTCTGCAATTCGCCTTTCGGAAATAAAAACCTCTTTCGAAAGACACTTACCATGCAAGGTGTGACTGCTTATGCAACTGATTTCTCAATTTGACAGCCTTTCCGAAATTTATTGCATCGAAATATATTGCCACGTCTGACACGCTCTGTACTAACACTTGATGGCGCCAGCAAGCTGGAGTCGTGTATTTCCCCTTTTATACAAAAAGGTTTTTGGTTGAATAAAATATTAGCTTTCAGCTTATCTTAGTTCATTGTTTTTCTATACCATTACATATTGAAAATATTTGCGTGTATACTTACATATGTATATGTAAGTAAACAATTTTAGCTACCATTTTTAGCCACAAAGACTTTTTTTAGCTCTTTTTTAGCCCTTTTTTTAAAAGAATTTGGCTACCACTAAAAATGATTCGCGGCAACACTGCTTCTAAGCATAGGTTATAAGGTCTTATCGTGTGTATTGTGCGAAAGACGNTTATTTCTTCTGCAAGTGCTGTCAAACCTAATCGAGTGTTGCCGTGTGGCACTGATAGTGAATTTGTGTAAAATGATAAAAAATATTGTTGAATTAAATATCAAAAATGTTTGGAATATATTATTTTGCTTAATATACTTAATCGTTAAATTATTGTTCACACGGCAAATATGTTAATTATAACCTATATTTTGTTTTCGTTCTCGCTTTTATAAGAGAAATAGCAAACAAACGACAACCCCAACAGCCAAAAAGCGATTTCATAAATTTTTTCTGCAATTCGCCTTTCGGAAATAAAAACCTCTTTCGAAAGACACTTACCATGCAAGGTGTGACTGCTTATGCAACTGATTTCTCAATTTGACAGCCTTTCCGAAATTTATTGCATCGAAATATATTGCCACGTCTGACACGCTCTGTACTAACACTTGATGGCGCCAGCAAGCTGGAGTCGTGTATTTCCCCTTTTATACAAAAAGGTTTTTGGTTGAATAAAATATTAGCTTTCAGCTTATCTTAGTTCATTGTTTTTCTATACCATTACATATTGAAAATATTTGCGTGTATACTTACATATGTATATGTAAGTAAACAATTTTAGCTACCATTTTTAGCCACAAAGACTTTTTTTAGCTCTTTTTTAGCCCTTTTTTTAAAAGAATTTGGCTACCACTAAAAATGATTCGCGGCAACACTGCTTCTAAGCATAGGTTATAAGGTCTTATCGTGTGTATTGTGCGAAAGACGGAAGCCCACTGTCAACGAACTGATTGGACCTTATCAGTGTGGCTTTAGGTCTGGAAAATCCAGCATAGATCAGGTATTCACGACCCGCGAGAATAGGATCGACCGTAGGAATAGCGAAGGACCTCTCCGAGCCGTTTGATGCCAAACGAGGTTTCAGGCACAGGGACTCCCTTTCGTGTGATTTCTTTAATCTAATATTGGAGGAGATAATAAGAGCCGCAGAGCTGAACCGCTCAGGCACAACACTTTGCAAGAGCGTACAATTTCTGGCGTATGCCGACGACATCGATATTATCGGTAAAAACAAGGGCTATGTCTGTTATGCCTTCTCGGGATTGGATAGGGAAGCAAAGCGAATGGGCCTGATTGTGAACGAGGACAAACCGAAGTATCTCCTGTCATCACACAAACATTCAGAGCATACGCGTCTTGGCACATACCTCACTGTTGACAGTTACGAGTTTGAAAAAGTAGACGACTTCGTTTATCTTGGAACCAGCATTAACACCAATAATAATGTCAGCCTTGAAATCAAATGGAGAATCACTCTTGCGAACAAGTGCTACTTTGGACTGAGTAGGCAATTGAGAAGTAAAGTCCTCTCTCGTCGTACAAAAATCGCACTGTATAAGTCACTCATCATGCCTGTGCTGGTGTATGGCGCGAAGGCATGGACAATGACAACATCTGATGGAGCGGCTCGTGGAGATTTCGAGAGAAAGATTCTGCGAAAGATTTACGGACCTTTACGCGTTGGCGATGGCGAATACCGCGGACGATTTAAGGATGAGCTGTATGAGCTTTACAACGATATGGACATAGTGCATCGGCTCCGCTGGCTTGGCCTCGTGATTCGAATGGACAAAAATGCTTTTGCTGTGAAAGTATTCAACGCGGGCAACAATGCTGGTAACAGAGGAAGAGCAAGTCCTCCTCTGCTTTGGAAAGACCAGGTGGAGAAGGAATT